CCACTTCCCTGACAAACATCCTCAACTGCTTCCCACATCTGACAGGGTGGAAGAATCCTAATTCTTAAACAGGAACCTAAAATATAATCTGGCTGCAGAACACCTGTCCAGAGGCACTGTCGGTCCCCTCCAGTGTCCTTCCCTGCCCCCGAAACCCTGAGCAAACAGCAGTGGGTGCCTCCACACACCATGTTTCTGTTCTCTCTCTTTCATCATGACTTCTGTTTGGCTAGGTTTACTTCATGGATCTACAACTCCAGAAACTCTTTCTTGACTCCATCTGCTCCCACATTTGGGTTAGGTATCCCCTCACCTGTGTGCACACAGTACCCTAGTACCTAACCAAGGGACATAACTACTGGAGTTTATTATTTCTGCATAATTCTGACTAGCCTGCAAGCAGTAGGGGGTAGAAATCATGTTTTATGTCACACCCCAGTTCTTAACCTAGTACCTGAATGCACTGTAAATGGGGGGATAACATGGAACAATGTCTTGATTTCTATCTCCAGCCATTACATAGGCACAAATGGACCCATAAGATTGAAGAGTAACTTTGTAGTTATAAAACTATTATAGAAACATTATTTCTTTCAAAAGCATGTTTAGAAATATATTCAAATTTATTAAATTCATTTAGCATCTTTTTAGAAAGCTGAAGTGTAAAGTAAGATATACAAAAAGAGTGGGAGAAAAGGTTTTATTTTTAGCTTTATGGGAATAGTTGAGATTTTCGACAGAATAATACCCACTAATTAAAACACACACACACACACACACACACAACTTTACATGTTCTTGCTCTTCACAACTTTATAGTTGTAATTCAACTTCCCTACCTTCCACCCACATACCAGCACTATTATAAAAGCAAGCCCAAGAGTCCCTGAAGAGAGGCAGGGCTTGCTCATATTTTCCCAGGCTGCCTCTGACACCCAAGTGAAAAGCAACGTTAAAGGGCTAGCATTTCCTGCAATAATAAAAACTTGTTAGTAGAGAAGCTCTTCATAACACGCCCCCATACAATAACCTTAACTAAGTGTAAATAACAATTTACACCTATTACGTATTAAATACCTTCCCAGAAGCATCTCTAACCTTTGCCCCAACATTCCCTTTAATATAAGCAAAGTCAAATTAGAGCTAACTCTATTTACAGTCTGCTAGCTTCTTCTCTCTAGTTTAGGCAGGGTTCAGTTAGTTACATAGAGAAAGAAAGATGAGAGAAAAATTTGAAATTAACAGTTTTAAACCTTGTATGTTTATTTTTTAAAATAATAATTTATTTCTCATCCCCCCATACCCAACCTCTAGAATAAGATCACAAATAACATACTAGGCCATTGGTAAGACCAGAGGAATTAGAAAATACTATGTCATGAATTAATTTCTAGTTTTGGATAACTTACTTTTATATCTTTAAAACATCCCAAACTCTAGAGAACTAGAGTAATCTACACAACTGAAATTATGTCTACATTCTCTGTATTCCATGAGAAATTAAGGAAAAGGTTCTCACATAAATATTAAAAAGGAATGGGATATAAACAAATATATCAATAACTGGATTATCAAAAAAGCAATAAATGATCAAGCAGGGAAAACTGAAGCACACTGCTTTCCTAACACTGAGGTCTGCTATGATGTCTCTATTATTTACTGGAGACTCTGCTGCCTACTCCCCTTTATACTCTGTGCTGGCGGTGTCCAGCACATAGCACAAAACACACACGACACATGATTCACAACGAAAAATATGAAATAAAGAACATATCTATCACTGTACACCCAGGTCAGCTTCCTGCAAAGAAATGGACAGTGTACATACTAATTCATTCTCCAGCATTCTGACACTAAAACATACCTCAGTACCAACAGTACCTTTTAGATAGGTGATTTTCTGTCTGTCTATCTTCCAGACACCTAATATCCTTCTGCTGTCTTTTGTTGTACTAAACTCTCAAATCAGGACTTTCAGCTAAACCTCCAATAATTTAAGACCCTCCTTCCTTGTCCTCCATCTACCCCATTGCTGCCTAGGTGGCAGGCAAAGTAGCCCATTATCACATCTTTTCACTAAGGATAAACTAAGATAATAAACAATGGACTCAATTTGCTACAACAGTTACATTTCATCCATCTAGCCAGAGTAGGTAAATATTTAATTCAGGAGTGTCTAGAAGAATAATTTCAGACACAGTTTCTCAGATTTTTTCTAAACTCAATCTTTTAAAAATAAAATCTAGCAAGCCTTTATCTATTTGTTTTTCCTATATTTTATACTTTGTCTAGATTGGGTCATACAAAAATTATAATAAGAAATTTCATTGTACACCTATGTGGGGGCGGGAGTACTGGGAATTGAACCCAGGGGCACTTAACCACTGAGCCACCTCCCTAATCCTTTTTTATATTTTATTTAGAGGCAGGATCTCCCTAAGTTGCTTAGAATCTCACTAAGTGCTGAGGCTGGCTTTGAACTCATGATCCTCCTCTCTCAGCCTCCTAAATTGTTTGGATTACAGATGTGTGACACCGTGCCTGGCTCAACTGCACAAAAAAATAAGGCAAGCCTGATTTTATTAACAATAAGAGCAATGAAAAGTCAAGTGTGTAAAATGCTTTATTGAACTCACTTTGTTTCATTATCTCAATGCTATCAATGCTAAAAATGCTCAATTAAAAATGGGTGCAAATCCTAAAAAACACTATTTTTCATGTTCTTAATAATTTTCAGTTGCATAATGTACTGATACATACCACCACAAGTATTATGCAATGAGGAGCTTTGATTTAACTAAGTATAAGAATATAACAAAAGCTAAAAAAGAATATTTTATAACTACAGTTAAGGCATTTGTGAAGCAAATACCTATCTGCTGCTCATTTATAAATGTGCTGAAAGAAAATTGCTATCTTAACAGAATTAATAAATGAAATTATAAAATAGCTTTGGATTCTTCAATTTAAAATTGTTTTTCTCAATCCCATTAATTTGCTGATGTGGTGGAACAGAAGACATACCCTTAAATTTTAGCATCCCATTACCTGAATTTCTAAGCTCCCTTAATTTCCGATAGAATAAATCTACTAAATGAAGCAAAGCCAGGAAAGGCGCAGCTTCACATACTGAGTACTACATACACCAGTACTAAATCTTAACAAGTAGAAAAGATGTGGCAAAAGGGTGGCAAATTCATCTTATCAAGAATAAGTAAAATTTCTGCAAAAGACTTTATCAAACCATGTCATGATTTCTAAATGGAAATTCTTTAATTCCCATTGCAAATTTTTTTGGGGGAGTTGGTCAATTTTTACCTAACAAATTGATTTACATGCTATAATTATTTTTTCACATATTTCTAACACCTCAATTCTTTTGGAAACTCACTTTTTCCTCATATAATTTTATATACATTATAGTTATTACAAGTCCCGTACTTTGCTAGTTAGGTCTCAGGAATTTCCTCTTTACAGATGTTTCTAGTCAGAAGCCCATCAATATTTAGTATTAAGAAGATTTTCCTCTAATCTAGTCTCATGACATTTCCAGTCTTAAGCTGTTAGAAAGACCAATCCACTATTTTGTGTCAGTAGAAAAACAGGGCATAAATGAAATCCACAAATACATCAAAGTCTCATTACAGTGAAAGTAACACATTCTTAACTTGTATAATCAAAAATAATGGAAACTGTTATATAAAACACATAATACAAATTGAAGTGTTTGAATAAAAGAGAAGCATAACCACAATCCAATACTGAAAGCTTCAGACACAAATGCGAGCTGAGTGTACTCTGGAGAGCTTATTTGGTGGCCCAATTCTAAATAACCTGTTTTAGGGATGGCAATGTGGTTCAGTGATACAGCACTCGCCTAGCATGCACAAGGTCTTAGGTTTCATCCACAATCAACACACACACACACACACACACACACACACACACACGCTTGTTTTAGATTTGGGGCCTCAAATTCCTAACAAGATGTACTAGTCTGTCATTTCTTTTAACCCTATGAGTTCTTGCCCAATCTGTAACAGATGCCAATGATTAGAGAAATGACCATTTGAAAGTAAAAAAAAAAAAATTGGTGATGGCCATGAAAAACAAAATATAAAACTAAGAAACCAAGAAGTATCTATAATTCATAATTAACTGTATTAACTTTTTATTTTGCTATTCTAGCTTTTCAGCACAATTAATATTTCAAAGAATCCTAACATACGAGATATCTGCTGGTCAAACCCCTTCATTTTATAGGAAAATGTAGTGAAGAAAACTGAATTTGTTTGAGATGAGCATACAGATAATTAACTACTATAACTGGAGCCAGAATCCAAGACTCTTAACTTCAATTTGACTTACTATATTGCTACTAATTCCAAGGCAAATAGATATTCAGGTATATGCTTGATAATATCCTAATATCTTCTGATTCTGGATTACAAGTTAATTAAAATGCCACTTATCAAAAAATAATCCAAAATGTTAAACTAAAAATAGTCTAACATAGTCTGTATGTGAAGAGAATGCTCCCTAATATATATTACCTTTCTGAAAAATCCAGCAACATTTGGAAATTGCCATCTGTATCTCTCCTCTGCCCAAAATGAAGCCTCAAGTTTACTATAATACTTTTGGCTTTGTCGTGTTACATTTGTATTGCCCAGCCTACCCTGTTTTAAGACACAGAGATACACACACACACACACACACACACTCTCTCTCTCTCTCTCTCTCTCTCTCTCTCTCATACGAGAATCTCTCTGAAGTTTCAGAACTTCTAGAGGTGAAAGTCAACCACCCCTGTCTGGCACCAACAATGTAAAATTCAAACCTCCTGCTACAGCAAATTAGCAAAATATCTTGGGAAATCTGTGTCCTGAATGGTACCAGGTCAAACGACAGAAACCCTATAAGCATTTCATTCCACTGCAAAACCTTCACATCCGCCAAAGAGTACTTAGTAAACAAACAATTTATAACCCTCAGCTTACCTGGACAACAGGATATTGATAATCCATACAATATACACCATACATAGCAAAGGGGGGAAAAGAACTTCAGATAAAGACAGTACAAAAACCGACTAAGTTTTTGCCTTGTTTGATCTGGCTGTCCTGTCCAAAAGAACTAGGAGCACCAAAAAAATCCTTGGCTGACTTCCAGTCTACGCTGTTGATAGGTATGCTGGCTCAGCTGATGAAGTTGGAGCTTGGTTCAGACCAGGCCTCCAGCCCAAAAGGATTCAGGAATACACAGAAGAGATGTTCAGGGAAAAGCAAAAGGCTCCGACAACATTAGTAGTTACAGACTGAAAACTGCACTAGAGATTTGCTGTTACTGTTGGTCTGAAGCTGACAACTCCACCAGAAACTCAAGAGGCAAAGAATGACTGCCAGGGAAGGGAACATGGGCTTCTTAAAGTGGCACACAAAAACGGTAGGAAGCACAAGGTATCTGGGTGCCAAAATATTATATATGTCCCAGGCTTTGAGTGCGTCAGAGGGAACACTCCCAATTCAGGACATGGAAAGGCAGATGGGACTGGTATTATTTCTCTACTCCTTCTTGGGTGGGAGCACGCACGCGCAGGCACGCGCGCGCGCGCGCACACACACACACACACACACACACACGCACGCACACACCCTTCTCACTGTCTCCGGCAGAGACAGGTGTTAGGATTAACAGCATAAACCCCTTCTGCTATGGAAAGAAATGGGAGAAAAGAGTCACACTGATACATGCAGTAAAGCGATCCCTTTCATGACACTGTATGTTTTTGTATCGTTTAACATCCCCCCTCCCTGTGCTTTTACAGAAGCTGGGACAGCTGGCAGGATCAGCACTAGAAAAGAGGAAGGTGGCCCCAACTCTGAGGCAACATGAGTCCACTGGAGGCCTTCAGATATGCAGGGTACTCACTCAGCTGTTCCAATCAAACTTGGAGGGATTAACTCTGGCTGCCTGCAAAAAGGTGGGGGTGGAAAGGTCTTTTCAGAAAAGCCAGTTGCTTTTCCTCTTTTAGGAAGCTGCTATACCCACCATGCCAACATTATGTACAACACACATAGGCACAAATATTTCTACAACCAGTATTTTTAAAAAGTAACAAACATGGACAGATGTGAGGTTAGTTAAACAAAGCACAGCAGGTTAGAGTTGGCTTCAGAGCCTAAATGGCACTTCTAAAACCAAAGAATTGCTGCATAATTCTTAGAAAATAAGGCACAGAGTAAGCGGAACGTGAAAACGAATATTAATTAAGAGATACATCAGTTAACCATTTTTATTAAGAAGTTCTCTGTTGGGGACAAGTATTCAACAGTTCAAAATGATGAATAATTCTAACCTTGTTTCAGAGGCTATGACCTCCTAATCTTGGAGAGCCAGTAATATTACAACATGCGTTCCTAGGATTAGACTGTGAGGATTAAACGCAACTGTGAGGACATCTGTGAGAATTTATGTATTACCAAGTCCCACCTGCCTCTACTGCAATTTTTCTCCTTTTATGGTCACTGTAATTTATTTTAGGATTGTTCAAAAGAAACTGTTTTTTAAGGGTTAAAATGGTCTTAACCAATCTAAAGATAGTCCTCTTGGTTAAACATTTATCTTAAATTGATTCTAACAGATTAAGGGATCAAACAACACACTAGACTATCTTTATATTGCCAGTACTGATTCTTTATGTATTACACATGAGGAACAAGAATAAATTGATTCCACATAATTTTTAAAAAGTTACTGAACATCTATTACTCACAAGTATTATGCTGAGCACTTGAGAAATGGATAGAACCCAGTTTATGGAAGAAAAAGAACAGAATATACAGGCAAAGGCAAAAGGTAAAACATTGCTATTACACAAAACTCAACATTGTAAGCAACATCTCATAAGTAGAAGGATATTTTTTTAAAGTTTTGCTTAAAAAACACTTATAAAGTCTCCACTTTCACATCATTAAAACTCTAAGACTGCTACTTGGCCAAATCTTCACAGAGATTATCAAAGATTCATAACATCTTGGATCTGATTGGCCACATCGTAAGGACTGTGGTATACATTCTCACTGTCCCTATAAAGCTATCTTAAACAGCAACTTGAAATGGCAAATTAAGAGATAACAAAAGAGGGCTGGGGATATAGATCAGTGGTTCAGCACTTGCCTAGAAGGTGTGAGGCTCCTGATCAATCCCAGCACTGCACCGCCCCCTCCCCGCAAAAAAGACAAAGGGAATGTTTCTGTAATAAAATTGCACACTATATTTGCTCCTCTAATTAAATCAATTCTCTAATTGCCATTGGAGACACTGCATCATCTCATTTTCAGTCTACATTTCATACACAGCAAATAGCATATCTGGTCACATGTATACTTATAAACTAGTATCTTAAATCACTATTAAATTTTCTGAGATTCCTCTTGATATGAAGACTGAAAAATGATATAATCTTTTATATACCATAGAGGGCCATAATAATTAACTACAGACAAACTTACAACTTCATGAGTTAACCCAATTCAGTATTTGGTAGATTAATTACACAAGATGAAATTCCAAGGTGGTAATATACTAAGATAACAGACAATAATTCAAATCCTAAAACAACTGACATAATTTAAGCATAAAAGTGATCCCCAAATAGGTTATAGGGAAGCCGAGTCAATTCCTGGAGATTTAATTCTTCTTGAGGACAGATCTGTATCATATAAGGTGAAAAGACATGACTAAAACAATATTAAGAGAAAAAATCATGTTGTTGAATAAAGTGTAGAGTATAATTACTTACTTACTAATTTGTAAGCTTTATAAGTTATGTATATATGCACACACATAAAACTTATTACACTGACATATTCCATATTTATGCATTGTATATACTATATAATGTACATAATATATCCCATATATGTGTGTGTGTGTATGTATATCTCTCAAAAATACACATGAGACAAAACCAATACCTCTGGGGGATGGGATGAAAAGGTAGCTGGTTTTCTCTTATTACCTTAGATATAAATTTATATTTTTCAAATATATTATTTGAAATTATTATTACCCTAAAAGTTTAAGGGAACCAAAATAGATCCACTTTCATTATAGGTATTTTAAACATTAATAATAATAATTAATAATACTCTCTGGGTCTCTAATTTATACTGTCATACTTGCTTTAGCTAACATGCTGGCATAACTATAAATTCTCACTTGGGACAGAAGAATATAGACAATAAACCACCTCAAACAGATGTCTTACCTAGATTCTGCCCAAATTATGCCCAGCTCTAGTTTACATAATCAGCCCTTCAGAAAAATGGCAAAATAATTAAACATTTTAATTTTAGCTTCCTATACCTCATGTTTCCTTTTTACTCACTTGTTTCTGTTGGAAAAAAAAAATTAAATCTGAACAATTTAAAAGACCAATAATCTAGTCAAACCAAAATTCTAATATTTATAGAAAGAAAGGTCAACTTTTCATCTGAAAGACAAATTATTACAACAAAAATTACAAATCTTAGAGTTGAAGGCCCTCACTCTCCTCTTTATAGTCTTTGAGCAGAGTAACATTGCCTTATATATTCAGATTAACAGAAAGAAATTCTATGCACAGATCAAAAGCTTAACATCACTGTTTCAGCATTTTGTCCACTAACCTATGTGATTTTAAAAAACAGAAACAACAACAACAAAATATTTCCCAACTCAGAAATTACACTTGATTTCTTCCCCCAGAACACACTGGATATTTCCTTTGAATTTTAAATACTATCATATTCCCTCAAAAACTCCAGAAATAGGGAATGGGGTTATGGCTCAGTGGTAGAGCACTCATCTGGCAGTGTGAGGCACTGGGTTCAATCTTCAGCACCACCTATATTTTTTAGTTCCAGAAATAAAATGGTTAATTTTCCACAATAAGCTCAGAGTTATTTGCTGATGATGCCAACTTACTTTGTTTGGAAAAGTATATACTCTGCAATATTATAAAAGCTTTTATAGTATTGGATCGTGAGTTCAAAGTCAGCCTCAGCAACAGTGAGGTGCTAAGCAACACAGCGAGACCCTGTCTCAAAATAAAATAGGGCTGGGTATGTGGCTCAGTGGTCAAGTGCCCCTGAGTTCAAACCCTAATAGCCCCCCACCCCCCAAAAAAAGTTCTTGTGTCCTGATCAGTTAAAAGTATGAATATAGAAAATAGCTTTTCATGTATATTTCCACACATTTCATTAGCAGAGCCATGTACATCAACTCATTTTTCAATATAGGTTTCAATACTGGCACAACTAGAATAGTCTATTAAATAGAGTGTGATGATATCAGAAATCTAGACCTAGAGCAAGATTTAAAAGCAAGACATCTAGAAGTATGAGATTTATGAAAGTTAAATTTTGCTAAGGACAAAATAAACAACCTAACAAACATCCCGTGTCAGAGGACATGACTGATGACACTACAGTATCATCTATACATCTACAATCCTTGAGGGTATTAACTACAGCAGTCTATGAACTGTTAGTGCAAAAACACACACGAGCTACAGGAATAAAGAAGGCATACCCGTAAGACACAGGACAAAGACAGTTAACACAGGAACTGAAGGGTGTGCACACGCAGAGTGCAGGAGAAAGGTAAATGTACCACTTGGGCACTGAGAGGCTGACTGGCCAAGTGAGAACAACACTGCTAAACCAGGAAAGCTCAAAGCAGGGACTGATTTGAAGTTATTGTGGAAGGATATTCAATAGAAAATGTCTAACAGGCACTCAGGGTTGTAGCCAGAGGTCAGCATTAGAAATGGAGATCCAAAAGGAATATAATAAGAGAGACAGCCAAGACCGTCATGGAATTGAGACTTGTCTCCCACATAGATGTGGTCCACAACATTTGATGAATATCAACCATGTACTCCCCCCACCCCCCAAAAAAGATAGAGACAGAGAGAAAGACAGAGTGGGGAGGGAGAGTGATACATGGATAGAAGGCAAAGAGCTGAAAATAGAACCTTAAGGAATACTCACTCATTCCAGAAGGCAGAAATAGAAACAGGATAAGAAGACCAAGCAGGATCCTGAACTAGTCACAAAAGCCAGAACATTTGTTCCTTTTCTTCGATCCTGTATGCCTTACACTAGGGAAGGTATTTCATGGTACCAGAGATAAATATACAACAGTATCAAGCAGAAAGGTTAAAGAGAATGAGAGCTTAGGAAAAAAAATGACTGAATTGGGCAAACAGGAGCTCAAGAGTTTTGATTGAGCTGTTTTAATAACATGGGTAAAATGATGATAGCCAAATTGATACATTCTGGATCAAGAATGAAAAATAGACATAAAACCTGCAAATGAATTTTAACTCTTTCTATCTTAGGATAGTTCTTTGCCTTCCAAGTGTCAAAAAAGTACAAAAACAATTATTGATACATTCAACTCCCCACTGTTGTTTTTGGTTTTTGCCTCTGTGCCTTTGACCACATTGTTTTCTTATCCATTTCAGAATCTCCAAATCTGAAAATGGGTCCTTAACTACCTTAAAATGCCATTTGTTCCACAAAGCTCATCTTCCTGGCTATCTCCAACAAGAAGTAATTTTTCTTTTCTCTGAACTTATGTGGTACTTTCTATTTGTTTTTAAGTGTACAGTTTTATCTATTAGATGGTTTTTTAAAGCTAAGACTTGTCAGTTCATCTTTGAATTTCTCTCAACCAAGCTGATGTCTTTGACACAGTATGTACCATCAGCATATGGAAAGAGAAGGTCTGCAATAACTTGCACCTATAAATCAGAGGCACCATGTACAGACCTTCCATTAGATCAAGACTCATTCATTCAATTTTCATTCATTTCAACCAAGACATCCCCAACGTTGTGTGAACTCAAAAGAATGGAAAAAGCTCTCAAAGAGCTGAAAATATAGAGGGGGAAAAAGCAGAAAATAAGAAACATCAAAATATCATCTGATGAATGTCATACTTAAAATAATAGCTTGGGGGAAAATAAAGCAGCAATTGCACCTAAAACCTTCACTGCTACCATCTCATTTTCTAGGTTGAAGGAAACCAGGAATATTTTACAAGAAATTAATGCTTAAAATAAACTGTGAAAAATTAGGGAGAGTTCTCCATATGGATGGGGGGCTGTGGTGGGCTTTGAGATAGTGGAATAGCATTCTAAGTGCATAAAACAGTATGGCATAGGCAAAGCCATATTCAGGCACTTACAGAAGGACAAGCAGGTAAATGTATCCCCTCAAAAAAGAGGTCAAAAAGCTATTTTAAAATATCCAAAGTTCTCTATCATATGAAAATTGTTGAATTTTTTATACCAATAGAAATCTTTAACTTATATCTACCAGAACACTGAAAATCGCAGTTAAGTACATAACACTCCTTCACATGACACATGAGAGGAAAGAAAGTATGGGGTAACAGAAGAGACCATGGTGAGGCTGAGCTGTGTTATTCTGTTTGGGGGTGACAGGCATGGATGAGAGTGCACAAATCATGAGGCAGGGAATCGGCATTTTTTATTAGAAGTGTCTTTCGTTATTCTTTCTTTCTAAATCAGTGCAGATTGAGCAACCCTAACCAAAAGGTCTGAAATCCAAAACTTTCTGAGCACTAACACCAGCTCAAAAAAAGTTTCAAATTTCAGAGCAATTCAGACTTCAAATATTCACATTAGGAATATTCTAAAATTTGAAAACTCTAAAATCAGTAATTCTGGTCCCAAGCATTTTAGATAATGGATCCATAAATGACCATAAGTAACAGTTACTTTAAATTCAGAAAAATAATTTAGAGAGAGTAAGGGTAAAAGTGTAACATTTTTTTCTTATGGTGGTGAGGATCAAACTCAGGGCCTCTTGTGTGCTAGGCAAGTGCTCTACCATTGAGTCACACTCTCCATCCAAAATGTAACTTGTAAAGCAGAAAACAATGGTAAATATCCTAATACTGTTGGGGAAATATGTCTGCAAATGAATTCAGATATATCATACATCAATCACATCACATAATCAAGACTATCCCTTCCATTAAAACTTTTACCTCAGGGGAGGGGAGGGGAGGGGGGATAGTAGAGGATAGGAAAGGCAGCAGAATACAACAGACACTAGTATGGCAATATGTAAATCAATGGATGTGTAACTGATGTGATTCTGCAATCTGTATATGGGGTAAAAATGGGAGCTCATAACCCACTTGAATCAAATTGTGAAATATGATATATCAAGAACTATGTAATGTTTTGAACAGCCAACAATAAAAAATTAAAAAAAAAAAAAAAAACTTTTACCTCAATTAACTAAAAATTTGTGGTTAATTGCAAAAAAAAAAAAAATGTTCACAATATTTCACAGCTCCTTAAACAGTAAGAGAACATTTTCCTTTACTCCTTGAATTTAGCCTTAGCCTCATGACTCACATTGCCAGGGGACATTAGCGAATGTGACACAAGCAGAGACTTGTCATTCGCATGCTCCTCTCTGAAACCCTGATACTACCATGTGAAGAAGCCTGAAGGATAAAAGACCAAGTAGATTTGAAATTAGTTGTTCTAGTTGAGCCTCCCAGACCAACCAACCTGCCAACTGCCAGATGTGAAAGTGGTGTCATTCTAGACTATCCCAGGCAAGCTGATCCAACCCAAACTGACACAGAACCATCCAAACTCCTGATCCACATTACTGTGAATGAATGATTAAACTGTT